CAGTTGCTCATTCTGTTCCTTCTCTTACTGGAATGCAAGCATCTGTCTATGATCAGAAGCACACAGAGGAACCAGAGCTATTTTGACTAAACACCACGTTATCGAGGCAGTACTGCTCTCACCAGCTGTCAGACTGAAATGGTTAATGATTTATGCATTCTAGGAGACTTTTGCAGGCTTTTGACCTCTGATGGGCAGTTGGGCCCATCCCTCCCTCCAGTGCTGAAGGTGTCAAGCCCTGAAAAGGCAGAAGGAGCCCAGTTTATACCTCTGATGGCCCTTTAAAGCCCATCCCCCCCTCTGCCAATCTTGAAAGGTGGGAACCAGGCCAGACACAGAAACTCTTCGAAGGCCCAGGGAGAGTTTGGAGGCTCGAGGCATGGCCCGTGACACTGACCATGGATATAATAACTCATAACTTCTTGGAGTGTGGGGGCTTCCCTCCTTCACCCCCAGCAGATCAAGGCCACCACTTCAACTGACAGACATGGAAGCGGCAACTACCAAGTGTCATCGCTGGACCCCGTGGGCGGTGACTATATACGTTTTTCCACTGTTATCTTTTCTTTTTCCTTACTCTCCCTTACTCTTATCCTGTCTTTCTCCCCTATGCATTTCCCCCCCTCCAAAGGTTATCTCTATGCCACCTTGTTATATGACAACACCCAAAATGCTAGCATACCTGTCGATACAAAATAGTTAAAATAAACCTTACCAATATATGTTTTCAGACACCGATTATTCAGTGTCGTTTCACTCTAATCCACCCCAAGGGAATTATTGATAAGAACCTGGGCTACCCTCCTCCCCTTTTCCTGGGGCGGGTCGTAACACCAGCTAGCAAAATTCTCTCCTAAAATAATACCATATATTGGATCACCTACCCTTGCACTTGAACTGGGATCTTCAAGAAAAATTATGAGATACTAGAAACAAACCTGACACAATGGAGTCACACGGGTATGACTGTTACAGAATAAAGTAAACAAAACAGGGATCCTGCACACTGGCACTATAGCTACTATAAGGGTACATGCAAAATACTGTGCTCTGCCAGATACACTACTCAACTGTACCTGCCAAACTCCACCTCTTCAGCTCTAGCCAGTGGCTTAAGACTCAATTACAAGATACGATGACAGATTTGAAGAAAAATTACTGAATCCTTCAAAATAATTGATTTATTACACAGAAAAAAGTTAAATTCAGGGGGAAAAAAGTATGCAATAGATCCAAAACAATTTCTGAGACAAAATGCACCTACCAAATCTCAAGACAGTATAAAATTTGAGAAATTATGCTGTGTACCAACTCTAACACACAGATAAAACTTATAAAGCCACAACTGGAACCAAGAGAATCTGTCTCCAAACTTTATAGAAAGCTTTTGTTGTTGTAGTGATTATCAGAGGAAAATACAACCTCAGAAACAGATAGCTCTGGAACCTGAATTCCTGTTTGGGGCTCCATTAGGTTTTATTCCCATTTCTTCATGGTCATATACACTTAGGTCCCTAATAATACTTATTTTAATATTTATTAATAATTAAACTTATTAAATGAAATATGTTTGTGGCTTTAAAGATTTGAACATCAAAAATCTCTTATTCTTTAAATAATATAATCGCCTTCACACCTCACTACATATTTACATAAACGTGCACATACGTGAACATATATGCACACACATCCCCTTATTCTGTAATAACTGAATAAAAGCCCCCACGTTGCTGCTGCAATGGCAAAGAAGAGAAAAGAGGAAACAGACAGGCATTCATATTGGATGCCATTTAAAAAAAAAAGGGGGGAAAAAGGCAAAAAAAAAAAAGACAGTCACATTCCAACTGAATACCCCTTTTAAATCTCTAATTCCACCCAAAGTACTGCTATTTAGAACTGGCTTCACAAAAATGCTATTCAATTTTTTGTCTAGAAGTCCACAGTGATTCTGAGTAACTTAACATCCTGTTTTATATATATATATATATATATATGTATATGCATAGACACAGACTCTTTAACTAGGTGTCAACAACATTTTAACAGGTATTACAACACTGCTTGAAGAGCACGCTTAATACCTCAGCAAATGACATATAAAACCCTCATATGTATAATATTCCACCAAACCAGACAACTGCTTACAATTTTGATGCTACAGTGATCCAACTGGTTAAAGAAAAAACACAGTTAATGCTTCAGTTAATGACAGCCAATTTTCTTCAAGTTATTTTTAGTCAGCGACAGTAAAAAAACAATATTATATTTTATAGAATAAAGAAAACCAAAACCAAAATAGAGGAAAAGTTTCTGAAGTTTCGTCTAGGGCAACTAGCTAGGAGATGTTTTTGATTTCTTTTTTGTTGGTATAGTTCCCAGCAAAAACAAGTGAGCCTAATAAACTGCAGAAAATACTAATTTTGTGATATAAGAATTTGACTTAAAATTATTTGCTAGGTTTTTTTGTAAAAAGGCTTTCAGAGGCACAGTTAATACATACCTGTTCATTTTACGAAGTGCACAGAGTTCATGGCAAGAAATAATTTTCTGTAGACAGTAAGATTATTACAAATCAAATACGTTCAATATCAAACCAATCCAGATTGCTCCTTTTTCCTCTCTCTAAAATGCCACTGCATAGCACAGCTGTTACAAGCATGATATTTAAATCTAAGTATTCCACAAACACCTATTTCTCTCTCTTATTTTTTGCTGGTATTAAAACACATACAATGGTTTTAAATCCTCTGCTAAAACTGTACTCGTAAAAAAAAAACAACAAAACATCATCTTTTCTTAAAAGACTTAAATCTTGGTCTTTTATCCAGTATTAAGTGCAGTGCAGTTGTTTCATCATTATTACAATCATGACTATCCTCAAACCTCATGGTAATTTTTACATTAAGTTTTATAACAGATGCATTTACACATTAAAAATATCTCAGCTAAACAGACAAGGAGACAGTTCTGACTATTTTCCAATCAGTCTGTTATTCCCCACTTTCTCCATACTTTTAAAACAATGTAATTAATAGTTTTCTGGCATTCCGAGAGGAAAAGGTTCAGAACTGCTTAAAGCCACTTTCTGATTTCTTCATGGCAGTTGTCTCAAGCTAAATATTTAGTCAAGCCACTTGCTAATTACAGCAATGTTGGACAACAAAAATTAAGGTATTACAATAATAAAATAAGGGTAATTAAAAACAACAGGATTTAATTCTGTTGAGTCATGTTTGGCAACACAATAGCATTAAACAGAGAACTGCCTATCACAACTTCTCTCCCTTAAGCTATCTCATACAAAAAACACAATTGCTTTGAACCTGCTTCCACATCCAAATTATTTAACTCCTCTATGATACTTATATTGGCTCTGCCAGGATTTGATATCAAGCTGACTTCACAGACCTGAAGCTGAATTTTTCTTAGGACTATCTATGCACAAAGAAACATGAAGGAGAAGAAATGCTTCTCTTCTCCATTTGCAGAATAAACAGGTTTCCTCCCTCACATTTCTATCACCGTTTCTCAGAGTTCAGAAAGTTAGGATAATCTTTTACAAGAATCTCCAAATCTAAAGAAATGTAGATGATCACTTCATTGTCACACATCATCTTCCATCTATAGTTTAAATCCCAGACCTTTGTATGGAAAGAGCATAAAGGCACGAACAAACAAAAAATCTAAGCCCAAGAGTATTACAAGCCCCACAGGCACAGATCACCCAAGTATTTTAACCATTTATCAAAAATAGTACTAGAAGAGGGCCATTTGAAAGAAAGCAAACACTAAAGGATTTCATCAGGGAGTTTTAAACATTTTTTTGTCCTACTGAATTTCAATAACAAAAACTTACCTTCTTTCTGCCTATACTGTAATGTCAATTTGCATCTTGATTTTTTAAACCAGGGTTGAAACATATTTGCATGTATTACTAACAAATGATACTTAGTTTTTTTGTCTAAAACTAGGGGGTTTATCTTCATAATATTATGAGTAAAGCTCACAAATACGCCACATGATGTTGCTGTTAAAATGAAATTTGAGTTCCTTAAAGAAGCTAACACTATAGTAAAAAATCAATTGTGCTCCTCTTCATTTACAAAGTGCTAAGAATACTCAAAATTCTTGAGGATGGATTTCTGTCCATCACAAGAAGACAAAAAAGGAAGGGGGGATGAATCAAAAAAGAATATATATCTTGCTAGAATTTGTCCTATGGCTAACCTTCAGAAGGAGGTCATGGTTCTGTCCTGCACCACACAAGCAAACATAAAAAGCCCCAAAATAACATGATTCAGCTTGTGGGTCATCAGGAGAATACAAAAACATAGCAAAAGTTTGTGAAAGCAGATTTCTTGAATTAAATTCTGGCCTCAATACTTTTCTCTCAAAGTGATACAGGCCATCCTCTATGCAAATTGAAGGCCTGTTCAAAAGCTGAGCAACCTACATCATGTTAACTTGGCATCCTACTTCTTACACACAGAAAACAGTAATTTTGTAAACTTAAAAAGCTCACAATCGTATCACTCAAAAGTAAAGCTAAGGGTATACGATTATGAAGTTAAGTACATACAGACACACAGGATTTTACAGGGCTAAGTTACAGTGCACCGACTGTCTAGAAAGCCTACTAGTAGTCATGTCAATTATGCCATGATTTTACAAACTTGTTTTGATCTCAACATTTTTAAAACAAAGATGACAACCAGTAACATTTGTTTTACATATTCAGAGTCCAGCATGTGTTCTTTCAATGAAAAAATTCTTTCAAATAGTTGATAACACTGTCAAAAGTGACAAGCTGGTCCTGATCATACGAAACAGCTTTGTGTCACGGGGCTTTTTGTCTTTTTTTTTTTTTTTAAATCAATATTTTTTCCTTTAACAAGGTTTACCATACCAAACACATGTCAAAAGAGACATCATAGCTTCACAGCGCAAGTATGTTGCACACCTTTTGGTATCAGACTTAAAAAACCACAAAGTAAACATACCTGTGTTCTGTGAGAACATTTACTGCTGATGGATGGTTGGCACAGTATGTAAGGTATAAGCTTTTCATTTGAGGCATCAAATTTAGAAAACATCCTCCAACCCTCTGCTGAGCTTCAGGCAACCTAAAAACAGAATAATGAATATGAAAATACTGTAATACCAACCAGACACAGAAATAAATTAAAGCCTAGAAAAGCAGTGTATATTGTGTGCTGGTTTTGGCTGTGGTAGAGTTAATTTTCTTCACAGTGGCTGGTATGGGGCTGTGTTTTGGATATGTGTTGAACACGGGGTTGCTAATATCGAGATGTTTCTGCTATTGCTGAGCAGGGCTTACACAGAGCCAAGGCCTCTTCTGATTTTTGTACTGCCATGCCAGCAAGAAGGCAGGGGGGAAAAGGGAAGCTGGGAGGAGAGACAGCCAGTACAGCTGACCCCAACTGACCAAAAGGATATTCCATACCATAGGACATCTTGCTCTGTATAACACTGGGGGAAGAAGAAAGAAGGGGGGATGTTTAGACTGATGGTATTTGTCTTCCCAAGTAACTGTTGCACATGAGGGGGCCTTGCTTTCCCAAAGATGGCTGAACACCTGCCTGCCCATGGGAAGTGGTGAATTAATTCCTTGTTTTGCTCAGCTTGTGTGAGAAGCTTTTGCTTTTCCTATTAAACTGTCTTCATCTCAACCCACGAGTTTTCTAGCTTCTACCCCGTTCCCACTGTGGGGGAGTGAGCAAGTGGCTCCATGAGGCTGGGCAGCTGGCTGGGGTAGAACCAGGACACACCGTCTGTTTGGTTTCGTTTTGTGATTTTTGTTTTGTTGTTATTTTTGTTTGGGTTTTTTTTATAAAAATAACAGAGAGATTTCTATGGTTACTGACCAGCATCCAACAGTTTTCTCCTCCTTCTGCTTACGCCACCATAGTATAGGCAGAATATAATACATACCTGTAGAACTGTCATTCAGCAAAATATTTTAAAAAATTAATGGTAATTAGCACCTTCTTTAAGGAATTAAATTTTCAGTGAATACACCCCTCTGTTAGAACAGCTTATGATCCACTTATATATGCCATGACAAATCTTAAAAGCACTATTTCAGCAATTAAGACAAAAACTGGACAGAGTAGCAACAGGATTCTCTACCTTACACAAGCAGAGATGATGGGATTTAAATATTCATTAAAAGATCCAAGTACCCTCTTAAGCTCTAATAACACAAATAGAAACCAGTTACAGTGCAGTAACAGGCTGTTTTTACACAATTGTCACTCATCTTCGTTTTTAAGGACCATAAAGCACTTTTATGTTGGGTTGTAACCAGGGCAAGAATGCTGCTTTACCACCATCAGTGCAGAAATACTTTCTATATCTTTCATGTTCAGATACACCACATTTGCTAAACAGTGAAGGAAAATTTCACAATTCTGTTCAGAAGAGCTTATTTTGTCTAGCATAAAATGGTGCTTAAATAATAGCAGTCTCAGTGACTTCAAAAAAAGGTGACTTAGAAGAAAACCTTACTTTCACACACTCTTAGTAAACCTAATCAGTTTTGATCAAGTTTTCCAGAGAAATATACACATATTCATACAAGTAAAGAAGGACAGGATAAGAAGGAAGACAGTATGAATATACACAATGTAATTTTCAAAAGTTTTTAGCAGAAACTGTTATTGCACATTGCAGCAAGAAAATATCTGGAGTATAAATATCTGAAATTGGCTGCATGACTCCAGCTTAGAACTGGAACAACCAGCAGAGAGTACAAGTCTGACTTCTGATTTCTGCATCAATATAAGCAGGGTGAGGGTGAAAGAAAGAGTGCAGCTCTTCCAGTCTTATTCCTATTAACTCCTTAAGCCGTATAGGTGAGATGTAAAAAAGCACACTCACATACTTTTTTATAATCTCAAATAACTTTCAAGTTATACACCAACTGACGGAAAAAAGCATATACTCTAACCAGCCATGCATCCTAACTGCTACTATGCCCCCATTCTCAGAACCACACAGAAATACCTATACAGGGCTGCTTCCTGTGTGAGAACAAATAAACTGGACAAACAAAAGAGCAATATTGTAAGAGTGTCAGAAGGGATGAAACTCTTCTTTTCGACAGAGCGACTCCCACTTGAAGGACTAAGCCTCTTCAGCTGTAGGCTGTAGGGTATGGCTAATAGCCAATTGTATAACCCACACTGAAGCTAACCAGAAGATGGGACACTAAACTTTCATCAGTCTTAGACTACAAACCTGTTCCTGACACCTTGCCTAAACCCACTGTACAACATGTGCACGACGAAACGTTTCAATTTCTCCATGCACTTGCTCTACTTGCATAAAGACTGCATTTCCTAACAAAAGTATGCAGTCTTTGCTTCTTTGCAAGATGAGACAGTGGATTTTGTTGTTATTGTTCTCGTTATCTATTTTACTACTCTTAAACCCAGTATTTCACTCTGCTATAAAGCTAAATGAGCCCTCAGTAAGTACTCAATAGATATAGTGTTTGTACAATCAAAGGGCTCCACACAAAGATCAGTTCCAACAATTCTCTCTTGAAGAATATTGTTTTTCTGAAAAAAAAAAAAAATTAAAAGTCAAGATTTTCTGTAGTTGTCCTGAACATGTACATAAAAGTTCCTAGATATCAATATTCAGTATATTCCCTCTGGAAAAAAGTGAGAGATGCTCCAGTGAACCTCAGCAGAAGAGAAAACATTCAGCTTTCCAGGACAACCACTCCTCCAGACAGGGGATGTTCCCATCCCGCTCAAACAGAGTCATCTTGTCCCACTCCTTAGCTCTGCTCATAGTAATCAGAATTCAGAGTTCATGCCAAGAAATACTCCCCCAAATTTCAAAACACTAAGTCTATCTCCTACTAAGCTGTTCAGTCCCTCTGCACAGCGTGGGAAGACCTACCCCAAATGAAGTCAAAATTGACTGTAGAGATGTTCAAAATGCGAGGCAGGGGAAACACGCTTCCTGATTTGAAAGCGATGTTCATTACAGACACCCAGAAAACAACAGCTGAATCCCCAGCACACACATCATGCCAGATACACTCTGACCACATTATCAGCACGCCCTATATTAAAGGCTAGGGCTCATATTTTACTGTCTGCATCTTTATTTCTCTTGGGAAAAAAAAAGTTTAAATTCTGAGCAGCATTGATTGTCTGGTTTTGTGGGTTTTTAGGGGAAAATGAGGGGCAATCCCCAGCATACTGACAGAATGCTATTCTTACAGCCTGCCTAGCAGCATTTCCTGCCTAGCAGCTGTTCCTCTTTAAATAAATCTAAGCATGAGCTAATAATAAATTCTTCGAGTAATAGATGCAGCCAAAGTTGCAAACTCTGAAGACATACTCAAGGCATATAACTCACTATTAAAGAGCAGGAGGCTCCAATATACAGTTGCTAAAAATGGTTAAATTCCCATTTCATACTGTAGTGATGTGGGTGGAGGGTGAATTATGGCTGTTTGCACCAAGCAGACATCTGTGTCTTCTCCGTCTGCTTTCTTTTAGCAGAATCAAAGACTGACATTATTCTCTTTCATGTGTTGCACATGCATTGCCACTTTATACTGCACATTCTTTGTTGAATTAAGCTAATTAAAAGACTTTATAAGTGGGTGGCAACTTATTCCCTTTAACTTTTCTAATCCATGCACTAGTTGCAGGTGTTCTACAATTTTCAGTAGATAACTTATCTATACCTCCTTTAACTGCTGAAAAACTAACAATTTAATGTGTATCACCACATCATACAAACCCTTTGGTAATTAATGTGTTCAATAAAAAGCACAGTTATTTCACAATTCATTCTGAAGTTGTCATCCCAATATTCTTCTCATATTTGGTACTTTAATTAAAAAGGAATCACATAAATATTTATACATATATATAAACTATAACAACTTCAGTTCTAAAAACCCAAAGGCATCTTTTAATTCTATTTACAGATGTAAGAGAACCAAAACAAAGGCTCTGCTGTTGTAGACATGCTAGAGGAATCATCATATGACTATATCTAAACTACCTGACATTATCTGCTTGTTGGAGTTATATCCAATGGCTATCACTTCTGTTTCTCCAGATTTAAAATGGGCTCCCACTGCCTGGTAATTTAAGGAAAGAAATAAAAAAGTAAGTGTGATTGAACAACAAGGTTAGTTTTAAGACAGATCAAAACCAGCAATGAGAACTGAACTAAAGCTGGCCTGACAGCTGACAGAAAAAAGGTGACAATACAGAATATCTGATCTTCTCCACTTCCTCCCACAAAGATAAACAGCAGAATTTACTTCCACTCTCTCAGCCTCTTGAACGAGCTGGAGCATCAATAGTAAGTTTGCCATGCTTGCAGGAGGTCAGTACAGAGAATGCCTTGAACTTAAAAGCTGATAGCAGAAAAGTGAAGGTCTGTAAAAATTATTACAGGATAATTGTGATTAATGACTCCAAGAGATGCAGTTTGTGAAGAAACATAGGATTGGATGTCATCTCCAGATGCTTTACAGTTAACAATGTTACTGAAATAAGGGGTCACTTCTCAACTTTCTGAGCTACTGTTTGCACAAAACTAGGCAGTATTCAACTAATTTACAACACTTCAGTCTAATTTTCAATGCTCTCTTCAAAACCACACCTTTCACTACTTGTCTCTTTGCCTTACCTATCAGACATCAGTTACTATGTATGTTTGTTTCAGGATAACTAAACTCGTTTGTGTTCACATTTACTTAATAGTGATAGTCTTGTTTCTCTTGATACCCATGATAACCAAAAGTAAAGGATGATACTTGGATAAACCCTTAACAGACTTAATTTGTATCTGCACTCCAAAACTAAACCTGAAACACTAATTAGTTTTGGATTACATTAAAATAGTCTCCCTCTCACACCCTGGCTTCTCCCTTCCTTTTTTTTTTTTTTTTTTAATTCCATTCCACTTCAGGAATAGAAGTATCTGCTTGCACTTAAACACAGAACACGATGACACAGTTACTGTGACTGCAAGAGAAGGGGCATGAGGAAGAGGGGACAAGAATCGAGCTATGGTTGCTACAGGGCAAGGGGATAAGTCTGTGATACTATCTGAAAGACTTCAATTTCCTACAGAGAAGATTATACCTAAGCAGTTCATGCAGGCTGGTGTCACACCACTTAGACCTGTGTGTCATGTGCCTGTCCTTATTGAGAAGTACAGCCATAGCCTGACAGCTTCTGTTCCCGGGTAAATGGAAGAATTTTTTTTTGGAGCAGGGGTTCAAATTAGGTTCAATCTCCAGCTACAAAAATACCCATAGAGCAATACTTTCAGTGTGATCATTTCAGCCAGAGATTACAAAGGCAGAAATAATCCCACAATGTGGACAAGTTCAAGGAGGACAAACCTCTAGCAACGAACTAGAAAAGCTTCAAGGCTGTGAGCAGGGTGGAAGGGTGGCACACAACTAAAATCAACCCAAAATTCAAATAACTGTTTCCCCCTAAAACACACAAAGTACCCACTACAGCATATTACGTTCCAAAAAAACCCCCACAACCCAATGTTTAACAACACGAGGATTAAATAAACCAAAGTGGTGCAGGCAAGAAGAAGTACGGTACGGGAAAGTTTCTGCTGCTGAAGCACGTGCCAAGATTTGTTAAAAAGAAAATTCAAGTGAAAAACTGTCTCAAGGTGGGTCTGGAATTTAAAATTCAACTCATGCCCAAGAACACAATTTTTTTTGAGCAAAGCAGGCCGGTAGCTCTACAACAGGCAGGACATTGGCATTTGTTCATTCTGACATGTCAAGTTAGAAAAAACACCCCACCGGATGTTGCAATGTGAAGTGCCTCAATGATGTAACTTCTCTGCCAAAAATAAAATAAAATTATAAATCTATTTTCAGCCCTGGAGCTAGTCTGGGTTTACAGAACAGATTCACCAGCCAAAAAAATATGGCAAAATGACAAAGAGAAAAAAGCCAGTAGAGCAAGCATTCTTCTACAGGATGGGAATCATGATGGACTAGATTCCAAACACAAGGACACTATGATGAAAATTAAACTGAAAATACAACTTGGCACGACAAGCATATTTATGGAATGACAATAATACAAAATATTTGCAGTAACCCTTCAGTAACTCCAGGGCATCACTTCCTGTGCCCACCTACTAGCATCCAGTATGTACCTAGTTTATTACACAGCAACATTTCACTTAGCAGAAAGAACAAATAAAGGACATTATGCATTAATATTTAAGGCATATGATCTCCTACTCCACCTTAACAAAATGTTTCAAAAGATGACAGTTTGTTCCACGCAAGGTACTTTATTTCCCTAACTTCTGATTCACAGAAACAAAATCGCGGTAACAAAAGAATGAGAAAACAAAGCACAGTGACAAGAAAAGAAAGGAAACATTTGAGTTTGTTGACAAATGGTCACTTTCAGGGATTTAGACACTTTACTGATGAGGTCTGGAATGAATATCCTTCTTTCTCACACACAGCATGAAAGAAAGACCATTTCAAGAATGTTTCCATTACACTGCTGAACAGTCATCTGAACTACACCATCCTCCCTTCCCTTCTCTCAGGTCTAAGTTGTATAGAGGCAGGAGAGAAGGGCAGAAGACAGGTGGTAGGAGGGAAGTCAGCAACAGTCCCAGGCATATGGTACTGCCTAGTGGAGATGCAGCTTATACTTTGTCATGACAAAGCTGCTTGTTCACACAGAGCAGGTCAGAAGTGAGGAAGGAGAGGTCAAAACAAGACACACTAAGGGGACCTAAAGATCATTGTTGCCAAAAGAGGTATTTTCTCCTGCATCCAAGACATTCATTCATTCATTCAGCAGACTGAAACTTGTCTAAGCCCTTAAATTCAAGCAATTCAAATTACTAACTTGGCAGAAACCAAGAAAATTTGGAGTAGGAATGTGACCATGTAGACAAGGAAAATGACAGAACTGAGGTTAGAAACAGAAATTTTACTTTCAGTGGAGTTTTAACACCAGAAAGTTGTTAGGACAATGCAAATGTGCACTTTCTAGCATCCCCAAGTGCTGAGGTAACAAGCTGAAAAATACCAAGTTACCAATTCAGCCTCAACTACAGAAAGAGGAAAAGTGTCTTCATCCCCTTCTTTCTGTGCTTCGTGCTTCCTATAGCAGCACAAGCACTGAGGGGTTTTCTTTAATTCAGGTTGTTCTTTCTGTCTATCCTGGCCACCTCTCCCAGCACCTTTTCATGACTACCATTGTTCAGGCCAGAAGAATACTAAGCACAAGCATTCTCAGAATGCGCTTCATCCAAGTCACCTCCTTCTCCACTGTTGCACCATTACATAAGGTCTGTTCATTCTTTCTCTTACTTTTAAGAAAGTTCTTAAAATTCATGCCCCCAAAACAAAACCCACCATTTCCCTACTAGTATGCAATTGCATCATGGAAATTTGTAAATTGCCGTTAAACTAAATCAAAATTTCTACCTCTGCAACTGCATCCTAGGGCCAATATCTATCTGTACAAGCAATCAATACATTCTCCAAACACCTATTACTGTACTGCTGTGGCAACAATTCTTAAAGTGAGAAGAAAAAAAATTACGCCCAACATTAGCAACAAATAAAGTAATAAAAAAATATTTGCATGTTAGAATTTTACTGTATCTCATATGCATAGTACTTACTTGGTGCATTCTTCTAAAGACTGTACAAGCATTTGCTGGAAAGAACTTATTTCTTCCAGGTTTCCCATTAAGTATGAAGTATTTGCCAAGGTTAACCTGGAGCCAAAGTAAATAAAACATGCTTAGGTTTGCAGTTATTGACTAACTGTGCATTAATACAATCTACAGTGCTAAAAGAAAGTGCTTACTGGTTCTTAGATCAAGGACCTGACTGTTTCAGTCAGCAAGCAAACTGAATAAAAGCAAGCCCTGCCTCAAGAACTTCATAGTCCACAGAGGAAAATACACATTGACATTGAAATTTTGACCACGTTAACCCTCCCCAATACATGAGAGATCTCAAACTTAATTCAAAACACAGAACAAACTCACATACTTTTCACTGGCTTGTAATGGTCGCAGGTAGTTTGAAAGCATTGTTTGTAGCTCCTTAGCATATTCATTTTCTGTTTCTAATATATTTTGTAGCACCTACAATAAATGACAATTGCTAATTGGTATTTTTTAAGACCAGTTTTAAAGCACACTAAAATTTACTTAGCATAAGAAAAACTTAAATGGGTGTTCCTACATTAAAAATGCAAGTATCAGCAAGAAAGCATTGAATACTATACATCTATGAAATTCATAGGGAAAAAAATCCACTATACACATGATGAGCCATCCTTCAGCCATAAATAAAAACAGTGGTAAGCTAACAGGAATTTCACTACTTAAAAACTTTAGTGCAAAATCTGAATGTTATACAGAGTGCTCTTCCAAACCCAGGGGCAATTATTCCTCCTATGTTCTTCAGAACAGTCACAGATCATCAGAGGCTGGTAAAGCACAATAGAAGTTGTAAGAGAAAAGAACAAATAATGTTGTTTTCTCAGTCTCAATTACAACACATTACAACTAATCTTGCTGGCAAAGTGTTTACTTATTCAGATGCGCTGTTCTACCTAGAACATCTGAATATTAATGGATTTACAAATAACAAGTAGTTTCCAACTTTATTTAGCAAAATGTTTAGCGTTATTACATTATTTTTAAATGGGGCTGCCCAACCTTCCGCTGGGAATACACTACCATGAGAAAACTACAACAGATTCTGACGCAAAGCCAAGAATTTATAAAATACAGCACACACTTGGGTTTTGGCTGAATATAAACCAACAACTGGAATACCCCCAAATATGTACAGGAAAACATTTTACTGGGCCATCTCCAGGGAGTCTGCTTTAGGATATCCTCCAATATAGTCACATCAGGTTCCACTGTGCTTCTAGATGGCAACTTATTTTTTTCTCCAAAAAGTTAATGGTTTAGCAAGACAATCAACAGAATTAAATGTAGTTCAGTGAACAGAACTGAACTTTGAAAACTTATTGCTATTCACTGGTCATAAGCCACACCACAAACCTTCTCATTTTGCTACATGCCATATTTCTCAAGTCTACAGTAATATCTCATTTCAGCATTTATAAGAACGACTGTAATTGACTGCATTATTCACTGTTGTAGTCAATACTCTTTCTTAGGAAGTAAAAAAAGCTATTCATTCCTAAATGCAAACCTGATGAAATAACTTTAAATAGATCAGTATGTCAATGAAGAATTCACTGCTCCTTTCATTGGTGTCATTGATTCTGCTTATTCCTTGAATGCTTCTATTCATTTGGAGAGAGAGAGAGACCATTTTCGAGTTCATTCTTTTGTTGCAAAACTGAATCCTGAACTGAAGATTAAAATGTCTCCATTCTCTGCTAAATGCTGTGGCAGAAGAATGTCACACAGAAAGTTACAGCTACTAAGAAATTACAGTATACAGTACAACATGGACACACAAACTTTAAAAAAGCTAAGGATTTTTTTGACCATTTAGACCACAGAAATAAAATATTTCCACCGATCATAGTACTAATTAACCCCCATATTCTCTTACACATATATAAAACAAAGAAAGTAAATTGTTAAAATGGTAATATAAAAGTACTTTATATAAAAGCATCTGTGAGGTTCAAAACTAAATGCAAGACCAATCTTTTTCAATACGTTTTTTTCTACAAAAACCTCCTAGCCCAAAGTTCTTACACAGCCATTAGTAGGGAAAAGCAGACTGAAAACCAAGGACACAGCGTCCCAATGAAGCACTGAACAGTATTAAAAGACATTCAAAGATAAAAATCAACAAATTTGCTAGAGATCTTGAAGGGCTGCACCACTGGTCCATTTTCTCAAAGACTATTTTCATTCTCTGCTATAAACAGCTGCCTGAAAAGCTTGAAATAAAACTAGTTTTATGTTGGACACACTCATTTTCCTGTGCTAGTCTGGATTTTTATTTGAGGATTTTCTTTGCAATACAGAGAACATGGGATTGGAGGAAAAAGACTTAAGTGGGGCAGGGAGACAATAACAAGAAAGCTTAAAAACTAGAATTAGCATTTTGACAATTAGTGGAAAAAGGAAAATAAATGCAACTGTAAATAAAACTATGCTACAAAACCTATGCTGAGTACCAGATGCACTTAAACTTTATGTTATTTTAGTAGTTCACACTACTACACACTACTTCAGATATACATAGCTTTAAACACTTCCCAGGACACACTAAAACTATTTCAGTTTTTTTTTAACAAGTACAATTTTCACTGCATACATTTTTTGAAGAATAACTTTGTTTATACAGTTTTAAAACATTATTTCTGTGAAATCTCACATTATTCCAGCTTGACTTACCTACCTCTCTGAGAAGCTATGAGGATTAAACGCTTGGACTGTGCTTTGAAGTGACAAGTAGCCAGCACTGTAATTCAGTATTTTGGCACCAGAGAACCCTTACAATTCCTCATATCCACATCTCACCCACATGATCTAATAATCACCTTTCTTCCCTTTCCTGTTTTCTGTGCATTCTGGCTGCTGCAAGACCCCATGAGACCTTGAAGACCTTGTTTCCACAACTCCACCACAACATTTGCACAGATAAGACCAAGTACCAAAAGAGCAGCGTTGAAGTGGCAGCTTTTGCAGTCTGTAACACTGATGAATGGCAAGCACAGACAACTGAGCTCATACAGCACCAGCTCTCTCAATCACACAGCATACAAAATTCAAGCATGGTTAACAATTCTGTCACACAAAACCTCAGTCATCTCCCTAAGGCAATAACTATCACCCAAAAATGGATTTGAAATGAGCTACATGAAGCCAATTGCCTTCCAAATCAGAGGGAAAAAAGGCAGAATACAGACACACTTGGGCATGATCCGTTAGCACATTCCCATTTTTTCACAATAGTATGGCACTCAACCAAAATACCTCATGCTTCGGCGAAATGGTGATCAGTATCCAATTTTCCTGAATCAGAATTTGCAAGATGAATCCCTTAAAACAGGTCCTTGAGAGGGGCAGTGTAAAGCACTGCACAAGTATATCATATCTCAAAGGTTCTCAAAAACTCTTATGAAATTCAGTAGACACAAACTCTTGATCCAACTTTAACAGAACGGCCCCAAAAGAAATGTTTATTTTCCATTACTTTTCAAACACTTAAATGAAAAATGAGGTCGTCCAAATACTCATAACTATGGAGAAATTTGCCTATTTCTTTACCTGCTTTTAGAAAAGCTACTTAATCGCAAGGCAACTGTAAGTGGAGATAACCTATCTTTATTTTGGACACTAAGTTATAAATTCTCCAGGGATCTCAAGTAAAAATAAAACTCAGAGTAACACCTGCTCTGTTTTCAGAGAATAACATGCAATGAAATGCCCACTTACTCAGTAGTTACTAAATTACTTCTACATGAAAAATGCTCGATGCTTGATCATGAGTCTGGTTCATATTGCACACTGCTGTAGACTTGTACCATTTTATGGAGGACAAGACCTCGGCATTCTCTACTAACCTGCATTCCTCAGCCAGGCAAAATGTACATGTATAACACATGTCTGTCTTCTCAGCAACACTTACTGCAAGGTGCAACTAATTAAGCACACTGAGACTAGAAAGTATGTGGTTTGTATTACGAACTTCAGACAGAGCTCTGTGAATCCATAAAGAACATATTTACAAGGGTGAGAAGAACAAAGGAAAGCAGTGAAAGCAGTTCCTCTCTTGACATTAAGCACCTTTCCCTTAGCCTATCCCAGTCCTCTTCCCAGAAAGGGAGCCTCTCCTACCACCTTCTGGACTTCCTCTGATCTGCTCTTTGATTTTGTCCTCAGTCCAACGAATGTACCCACAGGTGCTGCTTGCACCTGCACAAAACCTTCCCCAAGAAAAACAGCAATAATCAATCAAGAGGGTTTAGAGTCTCAGCACATCCCCTTATGGTGGGAGATGGCCACAACTCAAAAATAGCAAGCAGTCCCAGAGTACCAGCCTCAATACATGCCTGGTTGTCAAGAGAGCCTTTAACACAGATTTTAATGCTTACTCTTTAACTCAAGCTACATCCTTTCAGCTACCAAAGGTTTATCTGGAGTTGTTCTGCTTTTACTTTAACTTTGTTATGAGTACAGATTGACAAGACTTCTAGAACAGAGAAGTCCCATGTCTGCAGCTTATGTATTAAGATAGAATAAAAACTCAACTTACAAGTTAAACAACTTTCAATTCAGAGAATGTGTTTGCTGTTTGTCTTCACTACATTTAAAATCATCCATATTTAATAATTATGAAAAATTTTTATTTTATAGGTATATTGGTATCTGTATTGGGTTTCTGTGGCTAGGTTTTGGGGGGGGAGGGGGCACTACAGGGGTGGCTTCTGTTAGCAGCTGCTAGAAGCTTCCCCAGTCTGGTGGAGCCAATGCCAGCCAGCTCCAGGATGGGCTTCCTGCTGCTGGCCAAGGCTGAGCCAATTAGGAATGATAGTAAAACCTCCATGATAATATATTTAAGAACGGAAATTTATTGCACAGTTGAAAAATTCCATCCAGTGAAGAGCAGAGTGAGAACATGGGAACAGCAACGTAGACACCAAGGTCAGTACAGAAGGACAGGAAGGAGGTTCTCCAGGAGCTGAAGCTGAGGCCCCTGCAGCTCGTGGTGCAGACCATGGCGGAGCAGCTGTGCCCCTGCAGCTCATGGAGGAACATAGGGGTGCAGAGACCCACCTGCAGCCCATGGAGAAGCCCATGCTGGAGCAGGGGGATGCATGAAGGAGGTTGTGACCCTGTGGGAGCCCCGAGATGGAGCAGGGTCCTGCCAGGGACCTGCAACCCATGGAGAAACGAGTCCACACTGGAGAAGGTTTTCCTGGTAGGACTTGTGGCCCTGTGTAGGACCCACACAGGGGGGTACAGCTGGTACAGCTCATTCCTGAAGGACTGCACCCAACGGAGAAGTGAGCCACAGGGCAGCAGTTTTGTGAAGAACTGCCTATGGGATGGACTCACGCTGCAGAGGTTCGTGAAGGACTGTCTCCCATGGGAGGGACCCCACGGGAGGAGGGGAAGGACTCCTCTCCCTCAGCAGTGGCAGAAATAACAACTGACCGTAACCCCCATTCCCCAACCCCCTGCACCGCTGGGCGGGAGGAGGGAGAACACAGAAGGACGGAGGGGTGGGCGAGATTATTTTACTTCTCATTCTTTCTTGCTCTGATCCTGTTAGTAATAAATTTAAGTAATATCCCCACTTTGAGTCTGTTTTGCCCATGATAGTGATCAGTAAGTGATCTCTCCCAGCTCTTAACTCATGAATCCTTCGCTGTTTTTATTTTTTCTCTCTTTTGTCCAGTTGCAGAGAGGACGCAGAGAGTGGCTTTAGTGGGTACCTGGCATCTAGCCAGGGTCAACTCACTACACCATCAGAAGCACTTCATATTTTTCTAGAAAATCTAAATGTCAACATGTCTAATTTAAGTTTTAGACACAGCAGTGGAGCCTTGCTTTCTCTGAAACACAGTGCATGCTATAGCACAGCCTCTCATTTTCTAAACAAAAAGAATAAAATGGCAAGTTAAAAAAAAAAGGTGGGGGTATTTGTCACTGTGAAAAAATGCGAAAACAGGCAATTACCCAGTTCACAGCAGACAGATTTGAGAACAGCACTTTAGGGGCAGTGCTCTAATTTACAACATATATGTATGTATGTATGTAAATAAATATGTATGTACAGCTGTATATATAATTATGAACTGGTCATTTCCACCCCCCATAATGTGTCAACAGTCAGTAAATAGCTAGCAGTGAAAACAGCTTGAATCTTATTAGACCAAGTTAAGTGTATCAAGAGAGCGGTACCTGAAAAAGATGAAAAATAACCTAATTCCAAGAGTAGGTGTCTGATGGTCACTAGTTTCCTTTTTTTTTTTAATTAAATTACTTTAAAAGCCAGCCATAGCTCTATTTCTAAAAGTATGGAGTAACTTGAGCCTCCACGATGATAGTAAGTTATCCAGGGAATAATTACTGAAAAATTCACAAAAGCCAAACGTGATATTTCAAAATTGTATGGCATATTATAACTTAGCTTCCTGAACAAATTCAGACATACTTTCTATTATTTTCACTGAAGTACACAATCAACCCCCAAAATGGTTTGCATTACTCTTACAAAGTGAAATATGCAAGCACAAGATTCAATTTATTTTGGACACAGTCAAACTGAAGTTTTAGTTAAGTCTAAATTAAGCAGCTGCAACTCTTACTTTTCATCATACTGAGGTCTATCAGAAAAAATAATATAAAACTGTAAATGAGGCATGTATTTACCAATTACTTTAAATAAACAAATAAATTAAACCAAACCCCCAAAT